AGGTAGCTTCAATGAAAACTATGACAGAAGCTACTACCTCTGCACAAAATAACTTGACATGTGTAGATGCAACAAATATTCCACAAGTTATTGCCCAAAATGAGACCACATCAATGAGTCCAGGGCAACCCTTGACTAATGGTGGATCAAATGCTTCCACCTCTGTACAAATTGATAATTCTACAATGTCAGTCACTGATGGTAGTTCCTGTAATGGATCTGGAATTTTAGTTTTCCAGCAAAAGTCAACCAATAGTATTAATAATGCCACATCTACAAATGTTCCAGTTTTGGTAGGAATTACATATGAATTTATGTTGTGAATAATATTTTATTTTGGTATGTGAACAATTTTACATATTTTTTTACAGCAAGCTCAATTGCAAGCTGGAACACAAAATTGTGTTACGGAAACCGTTAATCAGAACCAAAATGAAATACCGTTTAAGAAACATTCTACCAATCCAGCAATAACTGCTCTTGTAACATCTCTTATGAATTCTGCTCAACAATTTCAGCAGCAAGCTGCAGGTTTGTTATGGAACTAATATAAAATATAATACAAAACAAAAGCAATACAAAAAAATAAACTTTACTTTATTAAACATTCTTGCAGCAAATGCAGCAGCTGCTGCTATGAATAGTAATGTACAGACTGCAAACAAGTCAAATAACGCTGCGATCCTTAGTTTGTTAAATAGTAGCCCTGCCAATTTGACGCAGCAAAAAGTCCAGCCGCGAAGGATCTCTTTGAATGCTTCTATCCCATCTAGAGTTCTTAGTCATGGAAATGTTATTAATGTCCCCAATACGACTGGTCAAGTAAATAAATTAAAATCTTAGTTATTTACTTCTTGAATTATTATGAAGTTCTAAGAAATATATTTTATCCAGGTAAGGGTGAGTTTAAGTTCAACTTTAACGGGACAATTGGGTTGTAAACAGCAACCAGTAAAAGCAACAGCTGTAAGATTAGCTCGCGTACAAGATCCTACTTCGACACTTGGTTTGTCGATGCCAGGACTTTCAGCTTTGTTAGCAGGTATATTATAAAAAGATACGTGGAACGTGTAATTAGTGTCTATATTATTTTTATTTGGTTTCAGTTAAGATGGGTAAACCTAAATTATGTATTGGCATTATTAATATAATGCATTATTCTGTCTTAATAGGGACGCCGTCTGCAGATAATCCAATACCAGGAATTAATTCTGGTTCTTCTCTACTTGAACGATTAACTGCTTCTTCCAGTCAAAATAATCAGTCTGTGACATCAATGACTACCCCACCATCTACCAATGTAAACCTGCAGGGTGTAAATCTTACTAGTCTATCTAATTCTATCAACGGTCTCCAAAATGTTCAGGTTGTGGAGAGCTGCTTATTTCTACATATGGCGTAGAAGATGAAATACTACTGTACTATTCGTTGTACGACAGGTATCATTTCCCGGATTATCACAACCCATTACGATGTCGCTAAACGTGTCAGCGACGACGGGTTCCGTTACACCTACAGGAGTCATTGTTTCCCTGCCTATATCATCTGCAACTAATACTTGCACCACGGTTTCCAGTGTTAGTTTCTTTTTTGTATTTCACGCATCTGTACATTTTCATTCATATAACATTATATAAAAATTATTCTAAAATGTTAATTTATGTTTTTAGATGGTAGCTACTACAGTTGTTACAACAGCTATTGCTGGAAGTACACCGACGGTAGTAATA